TTAGCTGACCTTGCGAGGAAGTTAATTGGAATACATTTCCGAAAAACAAGTTAGGAAAATTAACTAGTTTACTAAAGACACGAAACAACTATCACTTTTACTTTAAAACATTTTTTTCATATTTTGATAAAATGCGTTAAGGTATTGATGTTCATTTATTTTTTCCGGAAGTAATGAACAATAGAACATCAGGATGATGGTGGGGTATTCATTATAATGGTTTATTTAAGCGTTCATCACATGCTGGTTATTTTGGTAACGATAGTCCGAATATTTTTCAAATCGCACCGCTCTAGTCGCCGACTAACCCAAGCCCATTTTGGAATTAACCGCTAACTGTAGTTCATACAGCATAAAACGTGTTTTGGTGATTAATAAAAAAAGTTTTAAAAACATTAAATAATGTTTTTCCAGAATGTTATAAAACGCTTATAAAACTGCAAGGGCATCATTTTGCATGGAGTTAAAAACACCCATGACGTTACCATGACGTTATTCTATACCATCACCATCATGTAACCAGCTGATAACGTCGTGAAAACGTTATTTGTTATTTGGATTATTACTTAATAGGCCTATTTTAAATAATCACACGTTAATGCAAGAAAGGACACAACGCGTTCGAGCAGGCTGCATCTCGCCTCCAACAGCCCCATATGTTTACAAGGGAAAGTGTTAAGCAAAATTGTTGAGTCTTGTAATAAATTGTTATGGGATCGTATATATGGGATTGTGAAGCATTTTTTTCTGTGACGAGCTTGAAAAGCTAAACATGTTGTTTAGCAGCTCCACGCGTTAAAGGCCCAGTCACAAATCAGTTGCGATGCGTCGGGGATGGGTAAAACCTGGGAAATTTTAACAAAATCTTGAGACAGATCTCACGATTTTGCACCCGTCGGAGGCGCTCTCATGACGCCTGCGGGTTGTCGCAGATTTTTTAGACATCGCCACACCCGTCGCGGTCCCCAACTTTGAACTTAAAATTTTAAGATTGCTCGCAAGATTTTTCACCCATTTTGGGCATCCCAGACACCATCTCCGATGACCTACGATGCCCTCCGATTAATCGGAGGCGTCCTCCGAATAATCTGAGACAGTCGCAAGATTCTGTGTGGGATTGGAAAATCAGGTTGAGATTCAATGTCTGGGAGTAGTCTCCGGCGCCCTCCGACTGAATCGGATGCGTCCTGCGACGATTCGTACGCTTTATGTGATCGTCTCCGACGAATCGTACGGTGGAATCGTAGTAAATCGCCGTGTATATAAGGGCGCCTCCGACCGGATCGCTAAAAGTTTGAGACGCTCTTGCTGCAGGAGGCTGTGACAGAAGATTTTGAAGATTCCAAGGGATGCAATCGGAGGCGATCGGAGGCTAATCCAACGATTTTTCGACAAAACCGGGTCAAAATCCTTGAAAAAATCTCAGACAATGTGACTGCTCCACTTTTATTAGGATTATTGCTAGGATTGTTCAAGGATTCTTTATTTTCTACGACGACCCCCGGCCAAAACTAATCCCCGACAGATCGGCGACATTGTGACTGGGCCATAAGTAATTCCACACCTATAGCAGCTCCATATGTTTAGCAGCCTCACGCGCTTAGCAGAGGAAGTGCTTAGCCAATGTGCTTAGCTTGTGATATGCCGGTGAAGCTAAACACATAGCTAAACGTGTAACAATGCCAACGTGTCTAGCTTTTTCTTCTGTGAAACGTTTGAAAAGCTATACGCGTTTAGAAAGTACATAGATTTCTAAATGCGTATAGGTGCCTAACGTGTGTTGTATGTATTTAAATGCTAAACACTGTTTTTACAGTGCATTGCCTGGAACAACAGCATTGGGCAATAATTTGTCAATGGCCCCATTCTGAATAGTCGTCAAACATGTCAATAGTCCAAGAGTCAAAAATGGCCAACCCACTTGAATACTTCTCCACGGGATATTTATTCATTGTCTATTAGCGAATTAGACAGCAAGCTTTGTAGTGGGTCGCCATATTTGGGAAATTTGGACAGATGCAGGTAAAATTTCCCTTATGTCTTTAGGTGCTGAATTTGAAGTTGCAGTTGTACAATTCTTCCACATTGGTGACTGAGTGGGCAATAGTTCAAAACATGACTTCCACTTTAATTTTGTTTTTTTAGCTAAAGGAATTGAATCAGTAGATTAGGCCAATTTTACTGTAATGTGTAGGGCATAATTATGGAAATACTACAGCTTGATTTCGTATCATCAGAAAGTATGGGAGGGGACTGAGCCTACTCTGCCCCTCTCCCAGCGGGCAACTGAAGGACAAATAACTTGCATTTACCGTTACATTTATGTGTTCAAAATAAAAGAAACGAGAAGTAATTATCCACTTATATCTATTGTATTGACTACTAAGTTATTTTAACAACATGAAAGATGTTTAATAAAACAATATTGATTTTATTTTTTTTTAATTAACAGAATTTTAATTAAAATTAACATACTCGAAACAGGACTGGTGTAAGTCCATATACAATTAAATGCTGGCCAATTACAGAGCAGCTTCATTTTGAAACAAAAAAATCGCCATGTACATTTTGAGACCCCTGAAGCAAATGAACCTGTTTGTGGCATAAGAAATGACCACCTATTTACTTTATGTTAAATTTTACATTTTGTTTAATATGAAATGACCACCTTTTTACTATATGTTAAATTTTACATTTTGTTAAATACGTAATTGCACTAGATCTGATAGAAAGTGTACGTAACACAGAGATTTTAAATTTGAGCACAGATTCAGTGATATACATGTATATCTACACTGTCAATGGATAGTTATATAGTTTTTCTATAAAGAAAAATTTTAAGCATTTAGTAATTTTTACTTCAACAGAAATTCTATTTGTATAGACTTGACATTAAATATGGAATATTTTAGTTTTGAAGGTATGCCTAGGTAAAATGCGTTTTTTTTTTCAAAAATCTCCGATCTCATATAAGAAACGTGAATGGAGAAGTGTGTAGTCAGGTATGTCGCTACCAATTAACTGACTACCATGCCTGTTGCCCTGCTGCATTGTGTAATATGCAGTGGTTTAATTGGGCAGTGCTCCTTTGGGCTGGTCAAAGCTTGGCTTTTGCAAAGCATGGTTCTGTCAAAAAAAGTATCCATATATCGGCAACTACTGCATAGAAGAATTAAAAATTTTGCATACAAGTGGTTGGTTTTGCAGCGCGTAAAATGAGCCAAGCAGTGTATAACAGAATTGTTAATCTGTGGCAGAATGGCGCGAAAAAGACAGACAGTTTATTGCGCCAAACGGAACGGTCCACACAGTTTTATGCCCAGACTGACGTACCTAGACTGAGGTCTCGCCCAATGTATCGAAATCTTACCACCAGGGTACAGGACTCGCTGTCTTTCGGGATATGCTGTTGCAACCAAACAAAAACCACCCAGTCCGTTCAGAATGAGGGGTAAAATGCCACCAAACGCGTTTTTAAGGGCCCTTAGCGAACACCAAAGTGGTCTTAGCAGGTTAGAATACCAGACGACCTCCGAGGAATCAACAGTAAACAGCAAAACATCGTCGTCTGTTTTTCTAATGAATTGGGGACCATTACCGTTTCTGGGTAAAACACTGAAACTGCGTGGCTTTCTTTATTGAGGTCAGATTTCACCTGTACCGCTCAACTAGTCGAAACAGATTTATAGACATCCAGAAGAGGTCTACGGCGAAGCGTCTGCCGCGTCTAAAGTGGCTAGGGTCATTGGCAGCGTCAGTATTTGGAGTGGACACCACATTGGTACCAAAACATCGATAAAAACCTGAACCAGATCAAAAAAAGGAATAATCTGGGAACCAACAATTTTTGGGTTCCATGGTGATTTTGCCAGAGCACTTTTAATAGCAGATAACTTACAGAACCAAGGGATTGAGCAGCTACCTTGGTCATCACAATCGCCATATTTGAAACACACAGGCAATATGTGGGTAGGCCATTACTCAACGGCCTACATGTCCTACAACAAAACTGGACCAAATTGGACAAATTTGACCGATGCTTGGTATGTTATTCCAGATTGAACTCTAAAAAACCTATCCCAAGTAATGTCTTGCCGCTTGAGAGCCCTGGTAGCAGCCAGAAGAGGTCAGGCATAACAGCGACCGTTACTATGACTAGACACTGACATGAGGTGCCTTTGTGGGGCGTGTAACTCTTTTACAGACGATAATTAGGAAAATATGGAGATCCAAAATATCGTTTTTAATGGGTGTCGTATGACATTGAATAAGCAGTGTATTTTTGTTTGCTTCACTGGCGAATTCAATTAATGAAATGGTGTCACAATGACATCAAAGAGATAATTAAAAGTTATTAAAACACGATTTTAATCCTTATTTTCATTGATCAGTCAGCAAAATAGGAAAAAACTAATGTAAAATGATTTCGAAAAAAAATTCCATATTAAATGTCAAGTTTGTAGAATAATAATAATTAATAACAATAATTATACCAATTTTAATTATAAATAATAACAAATAAGATGAAAGGACTGTAATACCAAACTGAATTAACTCAAGCTTTTAGACATCAAATCACTTCAAAAATGTTTGCATATATTAGAAATAATCCACCAAATATTCCATCAAGTGTAATTTAAGGCACATATTGCACATTTTTTAATTTTGAAAAATGGAGCAACTTTATCTTCAATAACAAAATTTCATTTGAAAAATAGGAAAGGCTGTATACAATACCGAATTGAATAAACCTAAGCATTGAGGACAAGAATAGAAAAAAAACATACTGTAAAACCAATCCTGATTTATCTTAAAGAAACAATGAAAATGAAAATGAGATCAATTTTAAGTTAAAAATATGTCTATAACAAATTATTCCATACAGTAATTTTGTCTCTAGGACAGTGAAAATATTTTAAAAGATATCAGCGTCTTTTCAAATGTCGAAACTGTTCTATACACAATGACATCTTACACATTACTTGGTCCAACTTAAGATCATGTAAAATTAAAACCACAGCTTATCCCTGCAAAAATACCAATGAAAAGATTCTTAAACAAATGAAATATGCCTATTCCAATGTTCAGTTTCACAATGATATGGCTTTTCATTGTCTCTACCTTCCTCCGGCACACTGAAATAAACGACGCAATCGAAAGTTATACAGTAATCACATTTTATAAGTGGCATAACGCGTTTTTTTAATGCATGGCTCTATTTTATAAACGCTGAACAAGTTATTTCGATGGTACAACTGTTACTCTAATAATTGGTTTGAATAGAAGTAGAACTTTGTCACAAGTACCTTTCCAAGTCTATATCTTCCATGGATTGTGTTTAGCCCTGCAAAGCTGATTGAAGCCAGGAACTAAATAACCCGTGCAAATGGTTCTGTAATAAAAAATTGACCGACATGAGTTTTGTTAACTATCTCTCTCTTTCTCTCCCTCTCTCCCTCTCGCCTAAGGCTGCGATCATATGAAAAATCTATTTTCTAAAAATCTATTTGCGGTATCTTCCGATCACGGTCAGTGCCCTGAACACCCCACGGGGTAATTACGGGCAGCGCGAGCCAGTTACTTCCAAAGCTGTAATTAATTCTCGGCGCTGCCAGTAATTACGTCGCGGGTTATTCAGGGCATAGACCGTGATCACAAGATACTGCAAATAGATTTTTAGATTTTTAGAAAATAGATTTTTCATGTGAACGGTCCCTTACTCTCAGTAACATGTAGAGTTAAACATCATACTTAAAAGAAGCAAAAAGCATCACATAGCGTGATATTTTATCATGAATCATAATTCAATTTAGGACAAATTGAACTCTTTACAAACAACTCATATAAATAAATTCATTTTAATAAATTTCGTTTAATTGGTCTTGTGCGAATGTCTCACCCGTGGAAGAAAACTTGGCTTGCTGATTCACCTGTTCTGTAGTCTCATCTCCTTTGATTTCTCTCAATTAGCACCTTGCTACGGCTAGTCTGCCACATGGGTCAACAAACAAATTTTGTTTCTTTACGTGCATTATTTTGGCTCAAAAATCGCTTTATAATCCTTTTTATCCAGAAAGCCAAATGACCCACAACATGTGTGTCATGTGAAATAATAAAGATCACTGGATTAGGAGTAACAAAACTGAGGGTCCGTGTAACAGAGAGTCCGCCCTCCATATTGTTATAATGGTTAGGGTTAGCCTGAACTAAGTGGGTCAAAATATAGGGCGAGGCTCACCTGTACAAATAAACGAGAAGCGGACTCTCTGTTGTGGGGAACCCTATGCCACGTAACACCGGTACAAAAGTACAGAATAAAATGGCCCAAATACAGCCATGAAAATAAATAAAGCCGTAAAATATAACGTGCTAATTATCTAAGACATGTTGAGCATACTCCAGAAAAGAGAGTACACTGTACCATTTTACTATAAAGTATATATAGTGGCACAATACTAAGTAACCGTCTTCCTGAGAGAAGTTCCGCCTCTTTATCAGTCTAATATCCAGTTATAAGTAATGCACTTCGATTACAATTAACTATCACAATTGAAATGTTTAAACAAGTAAGGTCGCAAAACCGAACTTACAGTCCGCTATAATACATGTAGATGCCTATCTAACGACCATGCACAGTACTATAAGCACACTCTACCGTTTACAATTACAGTAATTAGAAAAATGTATATAATTTTGATTCAGGGATAAAACATATCAAAAATTACAACGAAGGGATTTTATCTTATGGACACAGCCGCCATATACCATTCATGCTATATGTTGAATTTTTAAAATACATACTTAGTTAATCCTATTCGCCCTGTAGAAAATAAAATTGCTTCATACAGCAGCATGTTTGATTTGTGTGCCAGGCTGTCGTTGGTGCCCAAAAATAAGTTGAACTTCGTTTGTCCATTTACTGATTTAGTGCCTAAATTTCACTTCAGATTGTAAAATATTTACAAGAATTTCCATACTCTAAATAAGGGTCTGTGAAACAAGCCAACTGAATCATTTGGAAAACCTATGATAAACTGCTAACATCTTTTGTGTAGTAGCGTTATAATGAGCATATGGCAAATGTTATGCTCTCGCGTTCTCTATTAGGGTCTCTAAAGAATGATCGGGGTTTCTAATTGTAGCTCCCACAAGTGCCATGAGTCGACTCATGAGGACGTGGATTGTCTCATCATCCAGCAGATCGCAAGAACCCTGGAATTTAAGTTCAATGCGCTTCGGATGATCGGACTCGATGACTTCAAGTCTGGTTTCCCTGTAGAAATCTAACAAATAATGTTCTATGACAGCTCCTCCAAATAGGGCATTGTCTTCCTCAACCACGGCATTGTGGTAGTTAATGAGGTGCTTTCCAATGTTCGCAACTTGTTCCTGTGGCATTGTATCATAAATTAAGTCCGGAGGACAGAGAGCATTTTCAACACAGCATTTCTGAATTGTGCTCTTGTTGACTCTCAGGAACTCTCGAAATGTTTGAGAGTGGTTGTCAAAGCGAACAGGAATAGGGAGAATGTTCACGCAATTCGTCATCACCCCTTCCAATCCCAGTGCAACACGCATGTCGACACTTCCTGATATGACAAATCGCTCAATGTTTGATGCAGCATGAAGCAAAAGTTGATAAACGCTACATATGAACTGAAAAAGTGTGAATTCCTCGCTGCTACGCCATCTTAACAAATGTATCATCATATCGTCGTCTATCTGCCCCGTTACAGTAACAGACTTTCCAAAAGTGCATTGTGGTAACACTTTTTTTGAGACTCGCACAAGAGGAACTTCTTCCGGCAGATTGTTTTCCCAAAATACTTTTAATCTTGTCTTTTCTTCTTCTGTCAGATGACGATCTATTGCATCAGCTAAGCTGGGTATTGCGCTGACTGTGTTGTCAAAGGATTGCCTGCATGGACGCTACGCAGATAAGGAATGATATTATCCTGCAGCATTATCCTCATAGAATCAACATCCACCGCTATGTGATGGAACACAAATAACACCATTGGCGGTGTAGTGTTTACGAAGGCAACACGCCAAGGCGATTCGTTGGAACTGTTGAAAGGACGTCTCATAATCTCCTCTATACTTCGTTCCATGGAATCTTCCGTTCCGTCTATGAGCTGCACCTCCGGAGTATCATCTAAAAGAAACTCTATCTTGTCTGTTCCTACTACAGCATTTCTTCTGTATCTCATCCTGAGGACTGGGTTATTTTCTGACACTAACTTTGTAATATTTTGCCAAAGCACAATGTCAGCAGCGTATCCCTGTTCTGGCAACCTGATTTTCACAATTAAGTGGTTTGCGAGATCTTCTTTTGTTCCCTGGCTGTTGTATTTCCATCGGTGTGTGAAGGCAGGTTTTTGAATATACCTGTTAGGAGAATGTGGACTATGTTGCTGAACTCCATCCCCAATCAACTGTTCTATGAGGTCAGCAAATGTAGTTGGTTTTTGATCACTGCTCATGAGCACTGCGGGTATAAGGGAAACTTGGAATTGGTCCCTTACTTTGCGGATAAATGACATCATATTAAGAGAGTCAAAGCCCAGGTCATTCAAAGATTGGTTTTCATCAATCTTACCGGGGCCCATCAGAATTCTCCCCGTCGTTCGCATCACCCAGTGTTTGATGTACTGTTTTCTGTCTTCACTTGACATATTTCTGATCTGTTCTATATTCAGAGTGACCTCTGCTGAATCGGCGTCATCATTTGAGTGGAAACTTTTGCTGTTGGTCTTGAAGGGAATGTCTGCGTACATGGCCTGTACATCATTGCGTAAAAGTGCATGGAGGAAACATTCCAATATGTCATCTTCATTTAATGCATTTATACCTTCATTTCTCAGTCTTTGCCCCGTATTTGGATTCTGATTTAGTAGGCCCAAATTTAGTGCACCCCAGTTGATGGACTGTGCAGGCAGATGCTGCTGTCTTCTGTAGTGAGCAAGGCTATCCATGAATGCATTGCCGGCTCCGTAGTTTGTCTGGCCAGGGTTTCCCAGCAGTGATGCGACTGAGGAATGCATCACAAAGTAGTCGAGAGGAAGGTTGATGGACAACTTGTGCAAGTTCCAGGAACCCTTTATTTTGGGACCTGTCGCTCTTTCAAATGTGTCTTGATTTTGATTTACAAAGGCACCATCGGCCAAAACAGCAGCGCCATGAAAAATGCCTTTAATTGGGATTTTGCGTTGTGCAAGTCTTTCAAAAGCACTGGAAACTGAAGTGTAATTGGAAACATCAGCTTGCTCGTGAATAACCAGAACTTGGTGTTTGATTTCAAGATCTCGTCTCTCACGTAACTGATCTGGAGTTGGAGCAGAACGAGATATTGTAGCAATGACACCAACTTTATGTTTGGCTAAACACTTAGTGATAAGCTGACCTAGGCCTGTCAGACCGCCAATTACCACATAGCAAGAATCAGAACGAAACAGTCTGTTTTTGGAGGCAAACACATCTCCAGATGGTGGTACTGAAATGCTGTAAATTGCTTGGGTTTCCATGCAGACATCCACGATTGTATCTTCAACAGTGCTACAGTGGTCGGAATAATTTTGTTTCCGTTGTACACCGGTGTAACCACGTTCGAAATGTTTTAATCCCTATCTTGTGAATAGAAGGGGGCGGACAAACAATGGAGGGCCGTATAAATCCCTTCAAAATTCGAACGCACAAACACAATAGCTTAGGTGGAATAACACAATACTTAATACGAGTGAACCCCATGACGCCGGTTTCTGTGGCCCAGCGCGAGCGTGACAATCCGCTGTAACTAGGTGTAATTAACAGCAGGATACATCAGCCAGAAGGTCCCTATTGTTTGTTGCGGCGATAGGATTATAGCTTGAAGAGGCTAAACCCATGCTAAGGCGTGCCACGCGAAGCGAACTGTCCTTTTGTTCACTAGTTTGGCACGCGCAGCTGGTTTTTAGTGTTGCTAACAAACTGCTAGTTAAATTTGTTATCAGTTATTTCATCCTATATGAAATTTCCGCAGTCAAAAATTGAACTAATTATTGTTTGTTTGGTTGAAATGCATGAGCGTCAGCATCAATCTGTCTCAAAAAATTCCTATTGCATTAATTTATAAATGTATAATTTATTTATGTACTTACGTTTTAATTTGAAATATCTGCATTCAAGCGTTCAAGTATTTATAAAACATGAATGATAATGAAAGAG